TCCTCATCGGCATCCTCCTCATCCTCCTCCTTCTCTTTCTCCTCCTCCTCCTCCTCCTCCTCCTCCTCGTCCTCCTCCTCCTCCTTCTTCTCTTCCTCCTCCTTCTCCTCCTCCTCCTTCCCCTTTTCCTCCCCCGTAGCCATTTTGGCCCAAGGTCAGCGTCGATATTCGAGTGAGCCCAGAGCCGTTCCGCTGCTCCAGCTGCCAGCTCCCGCTCCGCAATGAAGACCTTCCAGGTGACGGCTGCCGTGGCGTTGCTGCTGGTTGGCGCGGCCCCCGCCCAGGCGGCCTCCGACGGCCAGAATCCACTGGGAAAGGTGTTGGAGCTGCTTGACTCCTTGTACGCTAAGGTGGCGTCCGCGGGCGACGCGGAGCAGAAGGCCTTCGTCGAGTACACCAACTGGTGCGACGATGCAGCGAGCAACAAGCGCAACGAGATCAAGACTGGTGAGTCGAAGAAGGGCGACCTCGAGGCCTCCATCGGCAAGCTGAGCAGCGACATCACCGTGTCCGAAGGCAAGATCGAGGAGCTTGTGGCGAGCATCGCGACCCAGACCAAGGACCTGACCGACGCGACGGTCATCAGAAAGAAGGAGGCATCCGAGTTCGCTGCGAACGAGGCAGAGCTGATGGATGCGATCGACACGCTTGGTCGGGCCATCAGCATCATCTCGAAGGAGATGTCCAAGAACCCTGCGGCGTTCACCCAGGTGGACACCTCGAGCTTCAAGAACCTGATGAAGGGCCTCACGGCCATCATGGAGGCCGCCTCCTTCTCCGCAGCCAGCCAGCAGAGACTGACTGCGCTCGTGCAGGCCAGCCAGAGCTCCGAGAGCGAGGAGGACCCCATGGGCGCGCCCGCGGCGGTGGTCTACAAGACGCACTCCACGGACATCCTAGACCTGCTCGAGGACCTCAAGGAGAAGGCCGAGGAGGACCTGGCAGCCCTGCGCAAGGCCGAGACAAACACGAAGCAGAACTTCGAGATGCTGGAGCAGTCTCTCACCGATGCGAACACAAACGACAACAAAGACATGGCGGACGAGAAGGCGGCCAAGGAGGCAGCGGAGGAGGAGAAGGCGGCGGACACCAAGGACCTCGAGATGACGGTCAAGGCCCTGGCGGATGCGAACTCCGTCTTGGAGAGCATCAAGAACGACTGCATGCAGGTGGCTGCGGACCACGAGGCGACCGTGGCCGGCCGGAACGCCGAGCTCAAGGCCATCGCGGACGCCAAGAAGATCCTGGAGGACACCACCTCCGGAGCCGTGACGCAAAGCTACAGCTTCGCGCAGCTCTCGTCCCGCCGCGCGCAGATGCGGACGTCCGTCGACCTCAAGAAGGCGGAGGTCATCACCGCAGTGCAGCAGCTGGCCAGGCAGTACCACTCCTCGGCCCTCGCGCAGCTCGCATCGCGCATGCAGGCGGTGGTGCGTCTCGGCGCTGCTGCCGAAGGCGTACTGCGATGATCAGATCGCCAAGACCGAGGAGAAGAAGAGCGAGCTCGAGGAGGACATCTCCGCGCTCACTGCGAAAATCGACAAGGCCGTGGCGACGTCCACGTCCCTGAAGGCGGACGTGAAGGAGCTGCAGGGAGAGCTGGCCGCGCTGGCCAAGCTGCAGGCAGAGATGGACAAGATTCGCAGCGCGGAGAATGCCGCGTACACCGAGGCCAAAGCCGAGCTCACCCTCGGGCTGACGGGCGTCCGCGATGCGCTCTCCGTGCTGCGAGCTTATTATGGCGGCGCCACCTCGATGCTGCAGGCCGGTGCGGACGACTCGCAGCCCGCAAAGCCTATCCTGCACTCAGCGGCCACAGGCGCTGGGAGCAGCATCGTGGGCATCCTGGAGGTCGTCGAGAGCGACTTCGCGAAGAATCTGGCGCAGGAGGAGTCCGAGGAAGCCGACTCGCAGGCCGAGTACGACAAGGCCACGCAGGAGAACAAGGTGACCAACACCATGAAGTCCCAGGACGTTGTGTACAAGACGCTGGGAGAGATCACCTCTACGAGGTCCCACGAGGAACGCGATCAGCACGTACAGCAGGAACATGTGCGACTGACAGCGGCTAACGATCTCACAGCCCCGCGGCCGCAGGGTGGTACCGCAGCCGTGCGGTTGTGACGGCACCTGCGCCGCCCGGGCGGGGCTCGTGGGGGTCTCCACGGGCTTTCAGGGTCGCGTGGCTCGCGGCTACAGGGGGCCTCGCATTCCTAGCTTTTTTTTGCTGAAACATTCTTTCCTGTCCACCCATGCCACCTGGCCCTCAGTGGGCTAACTTCCGGCGTGTCTGGCCAGCAAGGTGCGTCTTCCTCCTCGTCGTCCTCGTGGCCGTCGTCGTCGTCCTTCCTCTTCTCCTCTGCATGGTATCCTTGCTGGCCAGAGGGGCTTTACAGCCGCGTCTTTTGAAGCATGCCCTCCTGTGCCGCTATCACTAACTTAGGTTTCTATTGCAAGCATCGTTGAGGCCTGTTCATCACTTCCGTTCTTTTTGGGAGCAGGCCCTACTGCCTTCATAGTGTCGACTGTCGTCCGCTGTGGAGCCCGGCTGTTGTCCGCCTTTCTTGTACACACACTTGTGTCACCCATGGAGTTGCATAGAATGGCACGTGGATCGCCTACGGCTGTATCCCTCATTACGCGTCCTCGGGGTAGGTGTGCTTTTGGTCGTGCCAGCGCCGCTTGCTTTGGAGGTGGAGCTTGGAATGCTGGGCAGGTTTCTGGCAATATTTATTTAAGTTGTTTTTTGCTTGGTGCTTTTCCTCGTGAGGGCGAGGCTGAATGGTACGGCTTCCTGGGTCTTTTTTCATGTTCATTCCCAGGCCCCGGCCCTCCCTGCCCCCACACGCGGGGCAGGGACACGATGGGGGCGGTGCGGCACGGGAGCCCGGGCGGGCTCCGCACTCTTGTGCAGAGTTGTTCCGATTTTGGCCCTTCCGCACGCGCCTCCGGCCCATGCCGGACAAGGCGGCATGGGAAGGTTGCCCGCAGCCTGCAGCTGGCACCGGGCTACGACCACAACAACCTTCCGCTTGTGTACAAGACCAAGGAGTTCAAGTCCCTCGACAAGAGCGTCGCGGACATGACGAGCGACCGCTCGGGCAAGGGCTCACAGCTCAAGGCCGTGCTGGAGTACTACGCCAAGGTGAAATCGTAATTCTTAACCGTGAGAAAATAAATGTGAACCGTGAGAAAATTCAATACGTAAAAACAACACGTAAACACAATACGTAAACGTGAAAAAAAACAACGTGTAAACAACAATACGTAAAAACAATACGTAAAACCAATACGTAAAAAAACAATACGTAACAGCAAAACGTAAAAACAGTACGTAAACACAATACGTAAACGTGAGAAAACAAAAAAACGTTTAAAAACAATACGTAAACACACTACGTAAAAACAATACGTAACATTAAAACATAAAAGCAATACGTAAACATAATACGTAAAAGCAATCTCTAAAATCAATGCGAAAAACACTATGGCAAAACACTACGTATTTACGTGTTTGTATGCTTTTACATGTTATTTGAGTATTGTTTCGATGTGTTGGTTTAATGTGTTTTCTTATGATTTACATGTTATTTTGCGTATTGATTTACACATTGTTTTCCTCACGGTTAAGTAAAACCCTCGTTGCATTTACGTATTGATTGACGTGTTGTTCGTACGTATTGTTACGTTTTGTTTTATGTATTGTTTTACGTGTTGTTTTACGTGTTGGTTTTACGTGTTGTTTTTTACGTGTTGTGTTACGTGTTGTTTTTACGTGTTGTTGTTGTTGCTTTTTTTTCGTGGGTTGCACAACATTTCAGGTGTATTCTGCGTTGTGTTCACGTAGTGTTTACGCGTTGTGATCACGTGTTGTTTTAACGTATTGCTTTTACGTATTGTTTTTACGCGTTGATTTGTTCGCATTGATTTTTGTTCGTATTGTTTTTAAGTGTTGTTATTGAGTGCTGTCTTTTTACGTATTGGTTTACGTGGTGTGTTTAGGTATTGTTTTTACGTGTTGTTTTACGTGTTATTTTGATGTGTTGTGTTTACGTGTTTTTTCTTGCGTGTGTTAAACGCAATGTTACGTGTATTTCGCGGTGTGCTTACGTGTTTTTACGTGTTATGTTGTCTACATATTGTGTTACGTATTGTTATTACGTGTTGTGTTGATGTGTTGTTTTAACGTGATGTGTTTCGTATTGTTTTACATATTGTTTCCCCCACGGTTAATTTGAACCCTCGTTCCATTTACTTATTGATTTATGTGTTGCTCGTACGTGTTGTTACGTGTTGTTTACGTGTTGTTTTTACGTGTTGTTTTTACGTGTTGTTTTAACGTGGGTAGAGCGAATTTTCACGTGTATTACGCGCTGTGCTTACGTAGTGCTTACGCGTTATGATCACGTGCTGTTTTAACGTATTGTTTTTACGCATTGGTTGTACGTGTTGTCTTTTTGTTCGTATTGTTTTTACGTATTGTTGTTCCGTGATGTGTTTAATTGTTGTTTTTACGTGTTGCTGTTACGTATTGTTTTTACGTGTTGTTTTACGTATTGTTGTTACGTGTTGTTTTTACGTGTTGTTTTTTTTGGATTGCACGAACTTTCACGTATATTACGCGTTTTGTTCACGTAGTGTTTACGCGTTGTGATCCCGCGCTGTTTTAACGTATTATTTTTACGTATTGTTTTTATGTGTTGTTGTTGTTTCGTATTGTGTTTACTTATTGTGTTTGGGTTTTGTTTTTCAGTGGTGTTTTTACGTATTGTTTTTTACGCAGTGTGTTTACGTGGTGTTCTGTCACGTTCGTTTTTTACGTGTTGTTTTCACGTATTGTTTTATGTGTTGTTTTTACGTGTTGTTTTCACGTGAGTAGAACGGGCTTATACATATAACGGCGCACCGGGTCCGGGGGCCCGGGGCCGGGACCCCGACCGCAAATGTGGGCCCCGGGGGGCCCAGAGGCTCGTCGGACCGCCGGACGCCGTCCAAGATCGTTCGCAGGCGGCTTCGGAACGCGCTCCGATGGCTCCAGATGCCTTCCAAGACGCCTGTCATGACACCAAGAAGGTCCCAGAAGCCTCCAAGACGCTCCGAGAGGCAGCCCAAGAGAGGCCCAAGAAGCAAAAATCGTGCCATTCCTATGGGAAAACGTATAATTTTTCGCATGTTCGCCTCTTGGGCTTTCAAGACGAGAGGCCCCAAGACGGTCTAGTTCGAGAGGGGTCCCAGACGGAGAAAGCCAACCTCGAATTCCGAGCTTCCGGCCCAAGAGGCTCCAGGAGGCGCCAAAATGCCGCCAAGAGGCGCCAAAAGGCTCCCAAAAGCACCCCAAGACGTTCCGAGAGGCACCCCAAGAGAGGTCCAAGAAACAAAAATCGTGCCATTCCTATGGGAAACGTATATTTTTCGCATGTTCGCATCTTGGGCTTTCACCGCGTCCAAGACGGCCCAAGAGGCCTCCAAGACGGCCTAGGAGGCCTCCGGGAGCGCTCCAAGGCTGCGCACGAGTGGCTCAGGACGGCCCCAAGACGGCCCAAGAGAACCCCAAGACGACTTCGAGAGGGGTCCCAGAAGGAGAAAGCCACTCTCGAATTCCGAGCTTCCGGCCCAACACATCCCAGGAGGCGCCAAAACGCCGCCCAGAGGCGCCAAAAGGCTTCCAAAATCAGCCCAAGACGTTCCGAGAGGCACCCCAAGAGAGGTCCAAGAAGCAAAAATGGTCCCATTCCTATGGGAAAACGTATACTTTTCGCATGGTCGCCTGTTGGGTTTTCACCGCGTCCAACACGTCCGAAGAGGCTCCCAAGACGGCCTAGGTGGCCCCCAAGAGAGTTCCAAGACGGTTCACGAGGCGCCCAGGACGGCAAAATTGGACTACAAAATGGCCTAAGAGAGCCCCAAGGCGTGCCCGAGAGGGGTCCCAGAGGGAGAAAGCCACTGTAGAATTCCGAGCTTTCGGCCCCAAGAGGCTCCAGGAGGCGCCAAGAGAGCTCCAAGAAGCCCCCACGAGAGACCCAGGACGCCCCAAGAGGCTCCAAAGGCGGCTCAAGAGAGCCCCAAGATGGGCCCGAGAGGGGTTCCACGCAAGTTGTTATTGCATCGCTCGGGAAAGGACGAGGATGAGGAGGAAGACGAGGAGGAGGAGGAGGAGGAGGAGGAGGAGGAGGACGAGGACGAGGAGGAGGAGGAGGAGGAGGAGGAGGAGGAGGAGGAGGAGGAGGAGGAGGAGGAGGAGGAGAGGGAGGAGGAGGAAGAGGAGGAGCAGGAGAAGGAGGAGGAGGGGTGCTGTGGACGCCGCCGAAGCTTCCCGGGGAGTCCTGGGGGCACCTTGGTCTAGGGCCCCTCGTCGCAGCGGCTGGGCGCAGCCCGAAACGTTGGAGCGTTCGGAGTCCCAGGGTCGATTTTGAGACGACTTTGCGTTTCCAGTGTCTCGCCCTTCTCCTCGACAGTCGAAGGCCAGACTGACAGATTGCCTTGGGTTCCAGGGGCCACTCTGGCGTGGCCAGGTTGGACCCTGGGCTCATCGCGCACCCGCCGGTCAAGGCAGGGGCGCTCGCAGGTCTCGCGGGGGACCTGCTCCTGCTAAGGCCCCTCGTCGTATACATATAACGCCGCGCCGGGCCCGGGGGCCCCGGGGGCCCGGGGCCGCAGCCTCGACCACAAATGGGGGGACGTCGGGCCCAGCCCGCTCCCCGGCGGGCCCCAGGTCGGCCCCCGGAGCGCCCTGGCGGCCGTCCGGGCGGCCCCGGGCCGCCCAGAGCCACCCTCAAGACAACCTCCAGCGGTCACCGGCGGCTCAAGAGGCGTCTCGGACCGCCCCAGACGCTTCCACGACGCTCGAAGACCCCTCCAAGAGATCCCCCCAGACGGCCCCGGGAAGCACAAATAGCCCCCTTCCCTTCGTAAACCGTACATTTTTACCATGTTCGATTTTTTGGCCTTCGCACCGTCTTTTACAACCTCAGACTCTCCCTCGACCGCCCCAAGACTTAAGACGGCCCACGAATCCCACGAGAGCGCCCCAAGACGGCCCCCGAGGGGCCCAGGACAGTGCCCCCGAAGGGCCCCAAGAGGGGCCCAAGACGGGAAATCCAACTGAACCTTCCAGCCCCCCCGCCCCAGGAGGCCCCCAAGAGGCCCCTCAGAGACCCCCGAGAGGCCCAAAGAGGCCTCCAAGACGCCCGCGGCAGGCCCCCAAAGGCCTCCAGAAGACCCCCAAGAGGCTTTCAAGAGGCCCCCCGAGATTCCCAGGAAGCCCCCAGGAGACCCCCAAGAGGGCCCCAACGGGCTTCTGAGAGGCTTCCCCAGAAATCTTCATGCACGTCTGCAAGACGCCCACGGCAGACCCCCAAGAACCTCCAGAGGCCCCCCAAGAGGCTTTCAAGAGGCCCTCAGGAGGCACGACTATGTCACGCGCCTGTGCTTGATAGCGCTGTCCAAGATCTTCTAGCGCGCCCCCGGCCTGGGCTAGAACCTGAGCGCGCGCGAAGCGCGCGCGATGGTTCTAGTTCAAGTATATTACGCGTTGTGCTCACGTAGTGTTTACGCGTTGTGATCACGTGCTGTTTTGACGAATTCTTTTTACGTATTGTTGTTGTATGTGTTGTTTCGTATAGTTTAATTGTTGGTTTTACGTTTGCTTGTCAGTGGTGTTTTTACGTGTTGTGTTTACGTGTTGTTTCTACGTGGGTTGAACAAATATTCACGTGTATTACGCCTTGTATTCACGTAGTGCTTACGCGTTGTGATCACGCGCTGTTTTAACGTATTGTTTTCACATGTTTTTGTTTGTTGTCCGTATTGTTTTTACGCGTTGTTTATTACGTATTGATTGTACATTTTTTCATCAGTGTTGTGTTTACGTGTTGTTTTGACGTATTGATTGTACGTGTTGTTTTAACGTATTGTTTTTACGTGTTGTGTTATTCTTCTTTTTACGTATCGTTTTTACGCATTGTTTTTTGCGTTGTTTTCTGCATTGTTTTTACGTATTGTTTTTACGTATTGGTTTCAAGTGTTTTTTACGTGTTGTGTTTACGTATTGTTTTTACGTGTTGTTTTTACGCATTGTGTTTACGAGTTGTTTTCTTTTCACGCGTACGTATCGTTTTTGCGTGTTGTTTGTACGTGTTGTTTTTAAGTGGGTTGAACAACCTTTCACGTGTATTACGCGTTGTGTTTGCGTAGTGTTTATGCGTTGTGATTACGTATTGTTTTACGTATTGTTTTTAAGTGTTGTTTTTACGTGTTGTGTTTACGTATTGTTTTTTGTTTTCGTGTTTTTTTTACGTATTGGTTGTACGTGTTGTTTTTACGTGTTGTTTTCACGTGAGTAGAACGGGTTTTCAAGTATATTACGCGTTGTGCTCACGTAGTGTTTACGCGTTGTGATCACGTGAAGTTTTGACGAATTCTTTTTACGTATTGTGTTTTTTATGTGTTGTGTCGTATTGTTTAAGTGTTGGTTTTACGTTTGTTTTTTTTCAGTGGTGTTTTTACGTGTTGCTTTTACGTATGTTTTTACGTGTTGTGTTTTACGTATTGTTTTTTACGTGTTGTGTTTACGTGTGTTGAACGGATTTTCACGTGTTTTGTCTTTATGCGTTGTGTTTGTGTTCCGTATTGTTGTTGCATATTGTTTTACGTATTGTTGTTAAGTGTTGTTGTTTTTATGTGTTGTTCTGTACGTTTTGTTTTCACGTGTTGTGTTTACGTGTTGTTGTTACGTGTTGTGTTTACGTATTGTTTTTACGTGTTGTTTTAAAGTTTTGTTTTTACGTGGTGTTGTTACGTGGGATGAACGATTTTACGCGTGCGTTACGCGTTGTGCTCACGTAGTGTTTGCGCGTTGTGATCACGTGCTGTTTTAACGTATTGTTGTGCGTATTGTTTTTAAGTGTTGTTATTTCGTATTGTTTTTAGTCATTGTGTTTACGTAGTGTGTTCACGTGTTGTTTTTACGTATTGTTTTTACGTGTTGGTTCGACGTGTTGTTTTACGTGGGTTGAACGAACTTTCACGTTTATTACGCTTTGTGCTCACGTAGTGCTTACGCGTTGTGATCACGCGCTGGTTTAACGTATTGTTGTTACGTATTGTTTTCATGTGTTGTTGTTTCGTGTTGTTTTTACGTATTGTTTTTCCGTAATGGTTTTAAGTGTTGTTTTTACGTGTTGTTTTTACGTGTTGGTTTTACGTGTTGCGTTTACGTATTGTTTTTATGTGGTGTTTTTATGTATTGTGTTTACGTGTTGTGTTTTTACGCGTTGTTTGTTTACGTTTTGTTTTTAAGGGTTGTTTTCTTTTCACGCTTGCGTATCGTTTTTACGTGTTGTTTTTACGTGTTGTTTTCAGGTGGGTTGAACAATTTGTCACGTGTATTACGCGTTGTGTTTACGTAGTGTTTACGCGCTGTGATTACGTATTGTTTTCACGTATTGGTTTCACGTATTGTTTTTACGTGTTGTTTTTACGTATTGTTCTGTTGTGTGTTTTTACGTGTTGGTTTTACGTGTTGATTTCACGTGTTGTTTTTACGCAGGTTGAACGGACTTTCACGTGTGTTACGCGTTGTGGTCACGTAATGTGTGCGCGTTGTGACCACGTGCTGGTTTAACGTATTGTTTGTACGTATTCTTTTATGTGTTGGTGTTGTTTCGTAGTGTTTTTTACGTATTGGTTTTACGTTTTGTGTTTAAGTGTTGTTTTTTACGTGTTGTTTTTACGTGTTGTTGTTTTACGTGTTGTTTTTACGTGTTGTGTTTATGTGTTGTGTTTGCGTATTGTGTTTACGTGTTGTTTTTACGTGGGTTGAAAGAATTTTCACGTGTTTTGTTGTTATGTGTTTTTGTTGGTTCCGCATTGATTTTACGTATCGGTTTTACGTATTATTTTTAAGTGTTGTTGCGTGTTAATTTTACGTATTGGTTTCACGTGTTGTTTTTACGTATTGGTTTTACTTGTTGTTTTTACGGGTTGTGTTTACGTCGGTTGAGCGTTTTTTCAGGTGTATTACGCGTTGTGCTCACGTAGTGTGTACGCGTTGTGATCACGCGTTGTTTTAACGTATTGGTGTTACGTGTTGGTTGTATGTGTTGTAGTTTCGTGTTGTTTTTTACGTATTGTTTTTGTCCGTAATGTTTTTCCGTAATGGTTTAAAGTGTTGTTGCTACGTGTTGTTTATACGTGTTGGTTTTACATGGTGTGTTTACGTTTTGTTTTTACGTGTTGTTTTAAAGTTTTGTTTTACGTGGTGTTGTTACGTGGGATGAACGATTTTTCGCGTGCGTTACGCGTTGTGCTCACGTAGTGTTTGCGCGTTGTGATCACGTGCTGTTTTAACGTATTGTTGTGCGTATTGTTTTTAAGTGTTGTTATTTCGTATTGTTTTTAGTCATTGTGTTTACGTAGTGTGTTCACGTGTTGTTTTTACGTATTGTTTTTACGTGTTGGTTCGACGTGTTGTTTTACGTGGGGTGAACGAACTTTCACGTGTATTACGCGTTGTTCTCACGTAGTGTTTACGCGTTGTGATCACGCGCTGTTTAAACGTATTGTGTTTACGCATTGTTTTTATGTGTTGTTTCTTTCGTATTGTTATATATGTATGTATATATATATATGTTGTGTACGTATGGTTTTTTACGTATTGTGATTAAGTGTTGGTTTACGCATTGTATTTACGTATTGTTTTTACGTGTTGTTTGTACGTGGTGTTTTCTTTTCACGTTTACGTATCGTTTTTACGTATTGTGTTTTTCGTGTTTTTCTCTTCGCGGTTAGATTAAACTCTCCCAAGGTGAAGGACCGTTGCATCGCCAAGCCCGAGAGCTACGAGGAGCGCAAGGCACGCCGCGAGGCTGAAATTGCGGGGCTCAAGTCGGCGCTGTCGATCCTGGAGTCGGAGACCTCCCTGGTGCAGCTGCACACACAGCGGCGCGGCAGCAGGGCCACATCCCTCAGGGCCGCGTCGCTCTGAGGGCGCCGCGGCGCCCTGTTGCTCTTTTAGAAGAGACTTTGACATGGGCTTCCTATTCCTCCTCCCCCCCCTCCTCCTCCTCCTCCTCGTCCTCCTCCTCCTCCTCCTCCTTTTCCTCCTCCCCCTCCTTCTCCTCCCCCTCCTCCTTCTCCTCCCCTCCTCCTCCTCCTCATCCTCTACTCCTCCTCCTCCTCCTCTTGCTCCTCATCTTCCTGCTCCTCTCCTCCTCCTCATCCTCCTCCTCCTCACTCCTCCTCCTCTCCTCCTCCTCCTCCTCCTCATCCTCCCTCCTCCTCCTCCTCCTCCTCCTCCTCCTCCTCCTCCTCCTCCGCCTCCTCCTCCAAGATGGTGCGACACACGCGGTGTCAGACACCAGCGAGCAGGCCGCGCCCCTCGCGACCTGCAGCAGTGCTGCGAGCGCCACGGCCCGCGGCAGGCTCCGCGCGCATCGTACCGACCTGGCGGCAGGCACCCAGAGTCGGGCGCTCGAGGATGAGAGCGCCGCCAGCTGCGGGCCTCGAAGAGGAGGATGAGGAGGAGGAGAAGGAGGAGGAGAAGGAGAAGGAAAATCAGGAGGAGGAGGTGGAGGAGGAGGAGGAGGCGGAGGAGGATGGGGGGGAAGGGAGGAGGAGGAGGAGGAGGAGGAGGGAGGAGGAGGGGAGGAGGGGAGGGGGGGGGGCGGAGGAGAAGGAGGGGGAAGGAGGAGGAGGCGGGGGAGGAGGAGGAGGAGGAGGAGGAGGAAGAGGAGGAGGAGGAGGAGGAGGAGGGGAGAGGGGGGGGGGGAGGAGGGGAAGGAAGGGGGAGGAGGGGGAGGAGGAAGGAGGCGGAGGAGGAGGAGGAGGAGGAGGAGGAGGAGCAGGAGGGGAGGAGGAGGAGGAGGAGGAAGTGGAGGAGGGGGGAGGAGGAGGAGGAGGAGGAGGAGGAGGAGGAGGAGGAGGAGGAGTATTGAGAGGATGAGGAGAAGGAGGAGGAGGAGGAGGAGGAGCAGAGGAGGAGCTGATCGCCCAGAATCGGCAAGCATCGAACGGTCCGCGCTATCGGAGAGCCGCGAGCCGTTCCGTGTTGAGCGATCCACGCGGTGTAAGGCACCAGCGCTTACCAGCCTGAGACATGCCCCCATCCCCACGATTGGCATTACGTAATCTCGATGCCTATCTCAAGAATTCCCTCAGACTCAGAGGACGCATCCCTGAGGTGGGTTTTTCACATTGGGCTGCTCAGTCTTGGCAATTGGGGTAGGCTCGAGGCTGGTTCAGCGCGCAGGCAGTCGCGACAGGCGACCGAGGGCACGAGGCGGACCTCTCTGCCGGCGGCGAGCCCAGGGGCGAAGTCAGAGGGGGCGGGCCATCCCCGGAGGCTCAGAAGGCCTCAGCCTTCCGAGCTGTTCTCCAATCCGCCCCCGACGACGCAGGGACACCTCTCGGGGGGCCGCAGGGCCGTCCGAGAAGCCCCGCCGCCGTCTGAGAAGGCCCGCCCCCTCCCACTTGCCTCCTGGGCTCGCCGCCGACTCTGGCGCGGCTCGGGGGGAGCGCCGCCTGCTGCCGCCACCGAGGGACGCACGGGGCTGGGAGGAGGACCGATCCGTTCCAGAGCGTTCCGCAACGCTCTCAGCGCGTTCCGGAACGCTCTGAGAAGGCCGCGGCGCCCGGGACATCCTCCAGAGCCGCCGGATCTCAGAGACTCTCGACTTGCCCTCGCCCGGATGTATCCCCGTCCTGGCTTCGTCGCAAGGGGGCTGCGGCTCTCACCCCCCGTCGGAGGACGCGGACGGCAACGGGCTGCTCCACCTGTGCATCCTCGCGCCCGGGGCCCACTCGGGCAGGAGGGGCGGCTCGGGCGGCGGGCAAGGCAGGGGCAAGGCGGGGGGGGAGGGGGGGGGGGGAGGGGGAGGAGGAGGCGGAGGAGGAGGAGGAGGAGGAGAGGAGGAGGAGCAGGGGAGGAGGGAGGGCAGGAGGAGGAGGAGGAGCAGGAGGAGGAGGAGCGAGGAGGAGGCGCAGGAGCAGAGGAGGAGGAGGAGGAGGAGGGGGGGGAGGAGCAGGAAGGGGAGGAGGAAGGAGGAGGAGCAGGAGGAGGAGGGGGGGGAGGATGCGGGGGTGGGGGAGGCAGAGGGAGCGTGAAGCAAGAAGGGTACCCGCAAACGATGTGAACACTTCTCCTAGCACGACTCAGTGCTGGCTCGGCCAGCATTGCGCATGCGAGTCACAGCGGCGAGTCGCGTAAGGAAGAAGAGGCCGACGGGGAAAGGAGAGGGGTGGGAGAGAATTGTAGGTGGTGAGCGATGCCATGGCGTGCGAGGCTGGCAGGCGCCTTTCCCGGGCGAGGCCCCGGTTGCCGCGGGGCCTCGTCGTGCCTGGCGAGAGGGGGCGGGGGGGGGGGGGAGCGGGGGCGGGGCAGGGAGCAGGGGGATGAGGAGCACGGGAGGGGAGTGGCAGGGGTGGGCGAGGCAGGTGAAGAGGGAGGGGGGAACGGCAAGCTAGGTGCGCTCGCGTCATATCTGACATCTTACCCCTCCCTCTCATCCCTTACCATGGCGCAGATCCCCTCTCTACTCGCTCAGTCGGATGTCGAGCAGGGCAATGATCCCGAAAGGGTACGCGACGCATTGTAAAGCACGGCATGGCATGGCGTAGAAGAGCACCGCAAAGCGTAGTATCAACCTCGCATTGCATTACATGCCGTTGCATGGCACGGGAAATGGCGCCAGCGCTGCAGCGGGAGCACGAGTCGAAACGAGCGGAAGCGCGGAAATGAGGCCAGCGCTGCAGCGGGAGCACGATTCGGAACGAGCGGAAGCACGAAAATGAGGCCAGCGCTGCAGCGGGAGCACGATTCGGACCGAGCGGGGCCCGAAAATGAGGCCGGCGCCTCAGCGAGAGCAGCATTTGGAAAAAATGCAGGCGAAAAACCCAACTCCGGGGAAACCTGTGTGTAAAAAAACAGTACGCGGGGGGCCAGGGCGGAAACTCCCAGGATCATCAAAAGGGAAAAGGCGAGTAGAGTATTCATATTGAGTAATTGTGGAAGGGAGGCGTTGGGAAGGGGGAGGGAGGGGCGGGCAGGGGAGGGAGGAGAAGAGGGTGAAGGAGGAAGGGTGAGAAGGAAGAAAGATGACGAAGAGGAGGAGGAGGAGGAGGAGGAGGAGGGAGGAGGAGGAGAGAGGAGGAGGAGGAGGAGGGGAGGGGAGGGGGGAGGAGGGTGGGAGGAGATGAGGCGGAGGAGCATGAGGAGGATGGGGATGAGGGAAGAGAGGGGGAAGATGAGGAGGTGTGAGGAGTGGAGGGAAGGGCAGGGGGAGGATGACGGGAGGGACGGGATCTGTCGGGCGGACGCGTCAAGACGCCAGTCTGCGCGCTAATCAGCTGTGCCGCCACGGGCACGGCTCGGAGCCATCCTTGCCCTACCGAGAGGGAGCTCAGCCCCACCCTTCTACCAATGAGAGAGGAGGGGAAAGGGGGATGATGATGATGATGAGGAGGAGGAGGAGGAGGAGGAAGAAGAAGATGGCGTGGAGGAAGGGGGAGGGAGGATGAAGAGGAAGGAGGGAGGAGGCGGAGGATGAGGAGGAATAGGAAGATGACAGACCTGTGTAAAGTCAAAGCGCATCAGAAACGTTGCAATTGACCCTCGTTCCAAGTTCCTCCCTCTGGAGTCCCCATTGGATGACGATCGTCTGGGAATTCTGAATCGTGTCAAAAAACCGTTCCTATGACTTCAACGCCGCGAGGCAACGTGATTGCTCCGTCCGGGCAATATTAAACATGTGCCAGAAAAACGTGTCTGGGACTTCAAGATCGCTAATCGGATGTCCTTGCGCCCTGACAGTCCTAACCCGTGCCTGCACACAAGTCCTGGGACTTCAAACAGACGAACCCTTGAGGTGAGTGCAACATTCGAATACAACTGTGCGCGGTGCTATACGAGAGCCACACGCTGAAGTGGAGAAGGAGCCGCCTTCCTTCCTTGAGGCTGTTGCAACCTTTGAACACGGACGTTCTCGGCGCTCATGCGAGAGCCACATGTTGAAAACGGCTCGCCCGACATCCTTGAAGCTGCTGCAAGTCTTGAAGACGAGTGTGCGCGGCGCTGCGGCTAGAGCCACATTTTGAAAACGGCCTTCCATCCTTGAAGCTGTTGCAAATTTGAAGCGCAAAGATCATCGGTGGCGAGAAAGTCTCAGACGAATCGTCCGGCCCGCCCTGTAGACACGTCTGTCAGGGCGCCAGACACGGGGGCATAGCAAACAGGGGCACGGGGAACGCCGATTTCCACATTTGGCTAGGCCCCCGTTTAGGGGGCCCTGGGCGCCGTAGACGAGGGCATAGTAAACGGGGGCATTTCAAAAAAAAACCTAAACCCCCGTTTAGCTACCCCCCCCCGTTTAGGAAACCCCGAGTCTTGGGGTGCGACACGGAGGAGTTTTTGCAAGGGAGAGGGATTGAGGGGAGAGGAGGAGAGATGCTAACCTACCTTTGTAAACTCGGGTGTGATAGTCCGCCAGAGTCCCAGACACACTATCTGAAGGGATTCGACCTCTGCAGCGCCCCCCCTCACAGATTGCTTGCATGGCCACGCGTTGTGGGTAGATTGCTTGGTTTTTCCCCATATCCTAAGGATTGGGGTTCTTGTTATTACTCTGACGCCTCCCACTGCTCCTCCTTCCTCCTTCCTCCCGCTCGCGCCTCCCTCCTCCCAATGATAATCACCAGATAAGACAAGACAAGATAAGATACTACAAGATAAGATAAGATAGCACAAGATATGATAAGAAGAGATTTCAAGATAAGATAAGATAAGTTAAGCTCACACTCACACTCTCTCATGATCACAAAACGCTGCCAGGGGCATCATTCGGGAGCCCCAAGGGGGAGCCACTCTGGCTGATCTCACGAGCCCGTTCGCGCCGATTTTGGTGGGACGTCTCAGCTAGAATTGCCGCTTGGCGCCCCCAATATGTATCTCTTGAGAGCCTCATGGTCACAAAACGCTGCCAGGGGCATCAT